TTGGATATCTTCTTTTGATTTTAGGACTAAAGGAATTGTCCTAGCTTTCTTGATTTATTAATAAACTTGGGTTCTGAGTGAACTATATTTCTTGTGAAACACTGTGTGACATTATTTAAAGAATTCTTGGTGAATCTCTTCTTGAATATTTCTTTATTATAAACCATTTTTTTAATTCTTTCTTTGGGAATTGTCTTTTTAAAAGCAATTTCACTTGGACACACCAGTCAAATATAAATTTGATCACAATATAAGGAGGTCAAATTTTTCTTTTTGGGATAACATGTCTCATCTGAGCATGCAAGTTAGAGAAAATCTAGAAAGATCGATAAATCTTCTTTCTTAATATATAAATTAGATTGATCCAAGTAATTCTCCTAACAACAATATAAATTGTCAAAACTAAAAACTTTAACTAGCTCATTTATTTTTATAATTACTACTTTAAATGCTAATTTAAAAGTAATTTGTTAGCCATTAAGAATTCAGGTAAAAACTTTTTAACTATTAATATTATCATCTGCAGATCTTTACTGCAGATCACTTTTTTAAATTCTAATAAAACTCAAAACCCAATCACTTTCTTTCAAATACTGTATAATCTCTTCTGATAAGATATCTTTCAAGTCCTAATTTTCTAGTCTTTTTTTTCTCTAATAATGAAACTCTTCTTCTTGATTATATAGTTTTATGATCTTGAAAGTTAAAAAGTCTTTTTATCTTATTATTTCTCTATATTCTTTATATTCTTTTTTATTATATTATCTTTTCACATCTTATATTTCAGACTTCTTATAAAATCAATTGCATATTATATTTTGTATCTTTTTTATTCACTTCTTTGCTTCTTTTTAAATTTTTTTACCATAATATTTTAGATTCACCAATTCAAGAATTAGTTTGCTTTTTATTAGTCCATCACAAAAACTTAATGTATCTTGACTTGTTATTGAAGTTTATTTCACTAGTTTGAATATCTACTTGTTGACTTTTTCTATTTCTTTTTTGTTATTTACTATCAGTTCCATATTTTTCTCTATAGCTTTTTTTTTTTTCTTGTAAAAGTTTTTTAAAGTTATTAAAATCTCTTTCAAGACCTTTGTTCTATATTTTTTTTATCTGCTTCTTATAAGCTAAATATTCTAACAAGTAATTGATTATCTCTTCTTTCTAGAAATCATGTGTGATACATTTTACTTGTTTATATAGATCTGGCTTTCTAATTGGCAACTTATTTAATGTTAATAATTTATTATTCATCAACTTAATAAGAAAAAAATTTTTGTAAATCTTTAAAAAATGTTTCTCATGTATATATATTTATTTATTTTTATATTAGATCTTATATATAGTCTTATTATTCTTTGATCTGATGGCTCTATTTTTTTTCAATTCTGTTTTGTGATATTATTGATATGCTGTGATCTTATTGTTTACTTTTTTAATGAATTGTCTTATGGAACCATCTAATGTTTTGCTTTACCACTGGATTTCAGTAGAAATCTTATATAAGATAAGATTTTTTCATTCTATTACAGGAAGTTTGAGAGTATTTTTGACTAAAGCATTTGTTTTATTATTATAGAAATTATTGAAGTGTATTTTGATCTTGATAAGTTTCATATCTAAACTTTCTTTCTTAATTAATTCTATAATATATATCCATAATAACTAGTTTTTATTCTTTAGTTATTTTTTGTATATCCTTTTTTGAATCATCTTTTTCAATTATTTTTTATTTTAAGATACAAGCTTGACTATCTATAAAAATTTCAACCATACTATTTATTGAGATTACTAGAAATATTGTGATTATTGTTATCAATTTTACTTATATAAATAATGTCTAATTATCTACTTCTGTTTGAAATCTATTTCTATTTTTATATTACTTATTTGAATTTATGCTACTATTATTTTTATATTATTACTTATATAATCAATTAGTGAGCTATCTGAATAGAAAATTAACTTTTAATTAGATCCTAGGTTATATAAGAGTGTCTCTATTAATTGGTCTTAATATATTTTTTTTTAACATTCTCTTTGATAATTGTTTCTTTTCAATTTTTCATATCTATATAATTTATTTTGAGATGTTAAAAGGGGGTTGTAAAAAAGAATTACTTAACAAAATTTGATTATCATACAGTATATTGTTTTCTTTATTATATTTCCCAAAGATGTCTTGAGACTTAGAATTATTAGTATCTAGGTTCTTCTAGTACTCTTTCTTGTATTGAGATAGAATATTGTATATATATATTTTTTATATCTTTTTCTATAATGCAACTGTTTTCTTGAATATAATTTTTTAAGCAATTTAGATATTTTGTTAACTTTGTCTCCTATTTTTTTATCAAATATTATATTAATAATATTATATCAAATAAATATTCTTTAATTAGTATATCTAAACTATTAATAAAAACAAAAAATTATTTTTGAAGTTGTATTTAAAATTATTTAAATTAATATAGGCAAATTAGTTGGAAAATTAGTTTTAATAATACATAAATTTATATATTATTTATAAATATTTAATTAATATATATATAATAGTTAGTCTGATAAAAAGTATTAAAAAATGATATATAATTTTATGATATAAAAATTTAATTAAATACCTTTTTAATACATTATTTATGATTAATTATATTAAAAGTTTTTTTATATAATTTTTTAATTATATAATTATAAATTCATTTTTAATTAATAAAAAATTAAAAGTTCTATATATTTAATATAAATAAATATAACTTTTATAAGATATTTAAAGAATTTGATAAAAGACAATTTTTTTTTTATTTTGCATAATATTAAATTGAAAAGATTTTGTAATTGTAATTTGAAAATTATTATTATTGTATTATGATTCTACAGATTTAATAACAAATAATATATTTATAACAAGTAATTAAAATGATTTAATATATAATTTATAAATTTTTACTTAAACTAAATTAGTAGTAATATTTTTATTAATTCAATTTATCGAATTATAAGATACGCCATTTTAATTTACGTTAGCTGATCATATACAGTATACGTACAGTATATATAAACAAGAAGAATCCATGTGATTCTGACTAATTGGGTGACGAATGACATTTATGCGCATCCCATTAGAGTCACGCGATTTTTCTGCATAGTATAGTTCTTTTTATATCCTCCGTGCGGTAACACTTACTGTATATCCTCTTTAATTCTTTCTAGGCATTCAATTCTAACAACAGATAAGGCAGACTCTGGTGAGCTTCAGGCCGAGAACGAGGATAAAGCTAAGGGTATCAAAGGATTACGCCACAAATCACACGCGCCAGATTTGTATCCTCCGAATGACATTTGGAATTACTTATCTAAATAAATGCACATCATACGCACCCTTCATTTTCTCACGCAATTTCTCTTGTAGTAATATCACATTTAATGATAATATTTTAAACAAGTGAATAAATATCTGTGTATAAATAAAAAGCTTTCCCCCGCTTCAAGTTAGTACTATCGCCAAAAAAGTGCAACCAACAGTCAGTTGTCATGGTTAATGTTAAAGTGATTTATAAAAATACCTTCCGCCGTTTCGCAATTTCAGAATGTTCATCCTGGTCTGAGATAGAATCAAAAATACGTGCACTCTTCTCTATCATCCCCAAAACTGAAATTTCCCTTTCCTATGTCGATGAAGATGATGATGTCATCACACTTTCAACCGATATGGAATTCAGAGAGATTCTTTCCCGGAAAGCCGGAGGAACCATCAAATTCAACTTGACTATCGTCGAAACAAATGATATATCGGCGGATCAGCTTATTACTAACTCGCAACAGGTTATTAATGAAAGTAGTGGTGGTGAATCCGATTGTACCAACGTTAGTTCAAAGTGGCTTATGGAGAGAGCGGTGGGTGTGACACAATTAGAAAACACTTCTAACTCAGAAGTCTCTGCCATGCTTGATTGCAGCGAGTATACAAATAATATTACCATGAAGATCTCAACGATCTTGGATTCCACAGAGATGCAGATTGATGGACCCAGCGTCTCCGACACCTCGACAGAACAATTTTCTACTTCAGCAAGTGGAAGAGATATTGTAATTGAATACGATGATTTATATGTTACCGAAAAGGAAGATGAAAGTCAGACATTAGAAATTTCCACACAACAACAAAATGATAACGATTCACTTTATTATGATCATTTGGAGAAATTTCACAGCTTGGTTGAACAGTCTCGGGATGTGCTGATCAAGCATCCTCAGATTCTTGAAACTGTAAATCAAATCATGGGGGAAATTATTCGTACAATTCCAGCAAACGCGGAAAATTTCAGTCAATGGTTAAATTCTTTCAAAATCACGAACACCTATAATTCACGAGATGACAAGCAAGACGCTGCTTCTGGTGAATCCACATTATTCCTAAACTCCCCTCCATCTCTTCCTCCAATAAGTTCGTTTGTCGATTTCACAACGTTTGGAACACCCGGAGGATTCTCACCACATAATCCTCCGAGATCTCTTTCTCCCATTAACGACCCTAGAACGAAAGTTTCGTCTGACGGATCACATTCCATTATTAGCACAAGCGCATCAACCTTCAACTCGCGAAATTTAATTAATACTAATGTCCAGATCGGATCAAATGGTCGTGGTTATATTAACATCACCACCACTAACCTTCTCCCTCATAATAACAATCCGTTTGACTCCCCCTCGGCACTAAATGACTCTTTTTTCGGTTTTAATTTTAATCCCATATTGCCTCAAAATAAGACCGAATCCATTCCGGGCATTCGAACTACCACGGAGATTACCACCGATGTCTCTTCGGCAAATCCATTTGATATTGTACATTTTCATGAGCACACTTCCGATAATACTGACGCACCAGATTTTGCAGAAAGCATGACAGTTACACCGGTAAGCGTCAACTCCGAGATTACGCCCTGTGAAATCGATAATGATCAATTATTGAATGAAAAGAAGGTCACGCTTGTCTCAATGGGATTTGTTGATGAAAAAGAGAACGAGGATTTGTTAAGGGAATGTGATGGTAAATTGGAGGCGGTCATTGACCGCTTGTTGTCCGTTGATAGAGACGAAATGCACCTAATGTAGCGTTTGGGATTAGCAAGTAAAGAGTACGCGATCGCTTGGTTTCGCGCATAAAATTGAAAGCCCTGAATTTAAACCTTCCATTACTTAAATCATTTTCTTGTTTTACGTAGAATCCGCTAATAACAATAAAACGGGCATGAAGATAACGATTACAAGGGAAAATCACGAGAAAACAAAAACACACACACATTTACTGTATGTTTTATAGTTAGAAAAGAACCACGATTTTTCATTATTCCGAACACTATAAACGTGAATGGCTTAAATGTATTTTGACTGTAGAGTGCGATAAAAAAACATTAAGATAAAGATAAATTTTCTCAATATACTGTATACTGTAACTTGGCAAAAATTTAAATGAATATACCATACGTAAAGAGACCCTTTTATAAATAATCAATAAAAAATTTTTTTCGATCGGTCATTAAACCGCACCTATAAAATATTGTATAATAATAATTTTTTTATGTCGCTTTCAAAAATATCCATCCACATAGGATACCTTACGATTTCGTTACGGAGTTCAAATAATACAAACGACACATACTATCAAAACGATTAGGCAAATTCCAATAATCGCGTTGATGGTTAATTATTAAATCATTTGCTTACATTATGATTTGCTTATAACGAGAAAGGTTTAAATGGCTCGTTTCGTTAGAATACAATACCAAGACGGCCTTATGTCCATGATAATACAAAATTAGCCACCTCGAACGCGTAAAGTCGAAATCCCTAAAGAGTCCCGACGTCTGGACATTATTGATTGATTCTTCAACGCTACATGTTAAAAAGATAATACCTTTTTCTTTCTTTCTTTTTTGACAGTAACGTATTTCACCATCAGTTTTAACTGCAGAACGTGTTTGATCCTAAACTTTAAGTGCAGTGTCCACCGTTCTTCCCTTACCATCTTTCGCGGTGCAAAGCATCCACGTGCCCTATGGTGAAAATTACAATACCCTTAAATAATATATTGTATACAGTACGTACTGTATATGGGGACAGAAGATGAATTTATAATTTCTTATATATCGTAATATTCACAGTGGACTCTAGACAGTAAAACACGGTGATTTCAGGAATTGGTATGTCATGAATCTTCGGGTTTGATTTAGCGATTGGGGATCCGCTCAGTTACAGTACATTTACGCGCGTAACCACGTCGCGTCAATGTAATAAGTCACGTGAAGCCATCATCGCGTGTAGTCTGGCCTACGATATCATATTTCTTTATTTTTAGTCGTATTATGTATTGTTTGGTTGATGTATACTGTATGTTCATATACTGTATACTGTACGTAAGCATTTGACTCCTCAATATGCAAGTTGTTCATCCGTTCAATTTTCAAATATAATAATACCTTGGTTCGAATAATACACTTGATTTTGGGAGATGTATTGTATTAAAACTTGAACGGGATTTGATGGATAGACAGCACCGCACTACATTGATATTCTATTTAGAACAGCTTAAACGGAGTACGAAATTCCTGCAGGACGTAAAATGTCAAATTGACGACGAATATAATACGACATTCCAACGTGATATGTCATCGAAAACTTAATTTCGCGTTGCTTGCATGCGCAGGATCAAATATATCCCGAGAAATAAAGTTAATTAGAATGAAATAATACATCCTTTTGAGAATTTTGATCATTTTCGTGATATAGGAATCCGTGTAACTTTTCCAGAAAGTTGGATTCCAGGACAAACATAAGAAACATACGAACGGGCTGAATGAAAAATTTCTTATAAATATGTCAACGTTGGGGGCGTCCAAGAAATTTCATCAGTTTCAACTTAGTTCAATACAACTAAACTCAAGTAATCCAACCTTACAAACAATTCAAACTTAATTCGCTCTTTTACCTTCCCTCAAGATGCCTGCACCTCGAATGGTTCGTCGCGACTCTGGTTTCGAAGAAACTTTTCATTTCAACGCAAAAGAACATGTCGACTTCTTCTCAACTTCTCTAGAGGAGGCTTTCCCAAAGATTTCTCATGACGAAATTAAACTTCCCTCTTACCACAAAAGAATCAACTTCTTCTTAATAAAATCCTCATCGTGCTCGTTCGAAATCACCGCCGATTGCGAAAAATTTGCAGAGTTTAACGCGAAATTTGAAAAAATTCGACAAGAATCGTCCTACGACTTTAACGACTTTCTAAAATCTCCGCTAGATTCCTGGTTAAGGCCTGTACCTTTTGAAAAGCGTATAGTCCCATATTACGGAAATAGTCCTTGCCCCAAATTCACGATCTCAAAAAGGACCTCCTGTTCTTTCTTTATCGAACTCGAATAACTTCCCTTTTTTGACCCGAACTTTGGAAAAAAAATTTTTTTGTCACCCAAAAGTGTAAATAGCCTCTCCGAAATTTAGAATTCCTGTATTTATTAAAAAAATTATTTCTTGTACTTTATTTACTTTTTCACTTTCATTCTTGCTTTTTTTCTTCTCCTTCGCATGACACACCTTTTGTATTTTTAGAGATTGACCAGGTTAAAACGACTTTCTTGTAAATTAGCACGACATTCGAATAAAGCATCATGAATTTTCGACAATTAATTAAACGTGTTCCAGCAGATGATCGTCTTGCAAAAGAAAAAACTTGCGTAATTATAAAGAATGTATCATAAAATAATACAATATCCTTTGATGAAAGACAGGTTGCATTATTCATGTTTCTTCATTATCAACTAGGAAAATGATTCTATGTATGTACGATATCACTACAAGATTTTTGACTCAATCATCTTTGAGCTTTTATTTCTTCTCGTTTTTTTTTTTTTTGATTGGTTGGGTTCATTTCAAGCCAGTAACATCCTTTCCTTTGCTGTGCTAGATATCTACAGAGAATGACAATAAGGACGTATGGTGACTTTTTTTGTTTGGTACTATTGATCTTAAAATATATACTGTATATAAATATAAATTATTATTATTGTTGTTATTATTTTACTTTATTTTTATTTATTTATTTTTTACCATGATAATTATTTTTCCGATTTATGAGAATCAAATATTTTTGCAGTTTTCTTTATGACTAGATTTAATGAGTAAATTCAAAAAGCATTGACTCAATAAAAAGAGTTGTGTTGAAAAACCAGATATTGAAATAAATATGTCGGCAATAGATTAATTAATTGTTAAAAGAAGTAATTGATTTGGGCCATTGTTATATGCTGCTAAAGACTGTTTCATATTATTGTGACGTTTCAAGCTAGATACCGTACGACCGAAAGTACTTGAATATTTTGTTTTAATATCCTTTTTAATATACCTTCCAATCACACGTGGAAGCTGAAATGTTTGTTCTAAGATTCAGGTCTTCCTCGTGAGTTCTATTTAACTCCATGAACAATTTCTTTTTTAGACCCGTAAAGTCCTGATCAACAACACCGATATCTTGCTTAGGATACTTGACAATCGTCTTATAGAGGTATGAAAGGGAGTAGAAAGTTAAAACCGTATCTGATTTCGCCTGATTAAGGATCAAAGAATTTACAAGATGAACAGTAGCTGAAGTGATTTTAACAAAGGGGAAGGTGAATTTATCGTCTGGGTCTCTTTGGAAACCTGAGACATTAAGGTGATATTCAAATAACTTGATCCGATCCATTTCACCAGGTTCGATATGAGGTGGGTTATTTGTTTTGCGAACACGTTCTACAGTTGCCGGCGGATGAGGAACATCTTCAAATACTGAACGCTCAATTCCAAAACGTCTATGGTAATAGTCAGGCCCAATCTCTTCTCGAAACGAATTATGACAAAGTACCAATACTAACTTCGGAGAGATGACGTAAAAAAAATGGTAATGGAATTGCGTTGTCGTTCCCGCATACGATGTAGTTATCCCTTCGAAAATTCCAAACGAGTCATTAATTAATATAAACTCATCATTTTCACCAGCTTGCCAAATTACGATAAAGCGATCAACCATGTTTTGATAGTATTCTTCCCTATCTATAAAAAAAATCAAAGGATTTTGGCGAATTTCCTCATGTTTGGTCTTTAACATTTCACTAATGTTCTGTAGCCAAACTTCTTGAGGACTTTTTAAGTTATATTGTCGCATGAAATTCTTTATGACGGGCCAGGTCACGCTGTCGAATTTCTCATCAACAAACTGAGACCATCGCGTGCCATTTCTATATCCCATTATATAAATACACTTGCGTAAATCTTCGAGGTCCTTCCTAGACAAAGCGACCTGATCTTTCTCTTGAGATTCATTTATAATGTTTGCGTGTACCTTTGCTGCTTTATCTTCAAGATCTCCAAGACCTCTTTCCACATGCATCACATTCTCACTATTAAGGTCTTCGTACATGTTTACGAATCCATAGACTTTTCCGATGGAAGAAATACCTAATTGATCGTTTGTTCTATCGTAGGTCTGGAGGCGTTGTCCTACCTTTCTTCTCTTCCACCATTTCCTTTCAAACAAATTCTCATCGCTTACAAATATCCTTGCATAATTGTCGATGGCAAATTTACGTAGCAGGAATCTTGGGATGTAATGGTGGTATTGTTCATTTTCTTCCATTGATATCTAAAAAAATGCACACCAGAGGCAATGTTTTTCAAAACTTGATATCTAAAAAAATGCACACCAAAGGCGATATTTTTCAAAACTTGGAGCGTGAATTTTCTGTGAAGGGCCTCAATTTTCTTCACAAGCTTTTCATACGAATGTGGCAAAAGAAATGGTAACAGGTAAGCGAGATGACGCAAAGCTTCAAAACATAATTATT